TTGCATTGCTTCTTCCTGGATGTTCAATTACGATCTCCCACTGTTTGGTGATGATGATGTTGTTTTTGATGACGATTACGATGATGATGATGATGACGATGTTGTTGTTGAAGATGTTGCTGTTGTTGTTGTTGTTGTTGATGATTGATTTTTAAAGATGATGATGGTAGTGATAATGACGACGACGACGACCACGATGATGTTGTTGTTTTGCTTATTTACCTTGCAATGCCTTCCATTCTCATCCTAATTTAGATGCTGCTGCTGTTGTTGCTGTTGGTTGCTTGCCATCATATTATTTTCTTTCACAATAATAATAATAATAATAATAGAATAACAATAATAATAATAAAATAATAATTTATTCTTAAGAGCAGGGATAGAGTATGTACTGAATGAATGAATGAATGAATGAATGAATGAATGAATGAATGAATGAATGAATGTGGAAGTTTTAAAATGGCTGGCCAAAATTTTGCAAAAATTGAAATTTTTTTTGGAATTTTAGCATAATATCTAACAAACAAGCTGGCTAACAGTATGTCTAAAGTTATTTATTTGTTATGCGTTCGTATGTGTGCGTGCGTGTGTTGGTGCGTACGTAGTGTGTTTGTATATTCACATTGATTTTTGTATGTTTGTTCTGAAACAATGCTGTGACACAACCTAACCAGTTCTCTTTATGGATATCGATATTTCTATATAATTGTGTTATTAACATTGTTTTCTTTGTAGATAATAATTACAATCACTATTGATTATTATCAACGTTGTTGTTGTTGTTGTGCGTGTGCGTGTTTGTATACGTGCGTGCGTGCGTGTGTGTGTGTGGTGTGTGTGTGTATATTTAGTTCATTAGTCTTTGTCAGCCAAATTTTTTCAAACTGTTGCACCAAGCTAAGGAAAGCAAGGTGACTAGTGAGAATGTGAATTTATGTTTATGTACAAGCGTGTGTGTGTGTGTTTTTTTTTATCTGCCTGTGTGTTTGTGTGTATGTTTGTGTTTGTGTGTTTGTATGTGTGTCTATGTAGGTTTGTCTGTTGTGTTGGGGTTATTACTCTATTGGTATGGAGCGTTTATTTGGTATTTTGTATTCTTGTTGGTTTGTTTAACATGGAGAGTTTTTTCACAGCTTTGCTTTTGTTTCCATGCAAAAATTCAATTTTTTTCTGTTAAATTTTTGCTTAGGGCTGTTTTTTGATGATTAATTGTTTCTAAGTGTCTGTCTGTTCGCATGTTGTAGTGGTTTGTAGTTATGTATGTTTTTTTATCACTTATTCTTAATTGTATTATTATATATCATTCTTATTTTAGTGGAATTTATGTTTTATTTTTGTAATTCCCTGATGGAATGTAAAATAAATTACACGTAAAACATTGACATGTATTTATTTGTCTTTAAATATATAGGTATCATCAAAATATTAGTAAAGAATTGAAAAAAATGAGTAACTATTGAAAATGACTATGATGTTGTTTTTGTCAAGAAATAAAAAATATCTTTCTCACTCTGACTAGCATGGAGGTCATTAACATGCCTAGGTGTATTATGTAACATGACCATGTGCACTTCAGACATACTATACATTTTCTGCCTATTGTAAATTCGGTGATATCTTGGAAATGATGTTGTTAAAAGCGTAAAGACACTCATACACAGGCATGTGTAAGGTCTGTGTGTGTGTTTGTGTGTGTTTGTGTGTGTCAGTTCTATGGATTCCTAACTGACCGGTTAGTTGATGTAGTTGTTTTTATCCCTTGTATTGATCGTGGTCATTAATGTAATGATGAAGTCGTGGGTGGATTTTGTTATATTAATAGAAATTTATTTCTTCGTTTTGATGTTTTCTGTGCAAAATTAGAAAATATTGCTTACACATTAACGAATGTATTTATATATGTATGTTTGCATGAATGAATGGAAGTGTATGTATGTATAAATGGATTTGTGTGTGTGTGCTTGTGTGTACATATATAAATACATACACACACATACATACATACATACATACATACATACATACATACATACATACATGGTGGTGAAACTTGGGTGTTGAGGAGAGAGGAGGAAAGTGTACTGCAGAGGGCTGAAAGAGCTATGGTGAGGATGATGTGTGGGGTTAAAGTGAAGGATAGGAGGAGTAGTACAGAGCTGATGTCAATGATGGGACTGAATGAGGACATTGTGACATTGATAAGGAGATCGAGATTGCGGTGGTATGGACATGTGTTGAGAAGGGATGAAAGGGTCGGGATTAGGCGAGCGTTGGAGTTCGAGGTTGAAGGAGTGGTAGGAAGGGGTCGTCCGCGGTTGGGATGGAGAGAGCAGGTGGAGAAGGACAGGGTGAAAGCGGGGTTGCGTGATACTGAGGCGAGTGACAGATGTGGATGGAGTCGAGGGGTATTTCGGTTTCATCATAGGTAGCCAAACGGCAACCCCCGATCTCGGGGAAAATGCCGTCTAAACGTGTGTTGTTGTTGTTGTTGTTGTATACATACATACATACATACATACATACATACATACATACATACATACATACATACATACATACATACATACATACATACTTACTTACATACATACATACATACATACATACATACTAGAGATGAGCGGGAATTGAAATTTGTTCCAATTTCCCTCCCATTTTTCCTCATTCCCGAATCCCTCTAGAATTCCCATTTATGACAACTTTCCCGAAAATTCCCATTCCCTATTCTTTTAACTCATTCCCGAGTTTTACCTCCCATTCTCTCTCGTTTTCCATTTTCAAATTTTTTTAACACAATTTTTAATATAATTTTTTTGAAAAAGCCGATTTACCAAACAAAGTAAAAATTTAAATGTTATTAAAAGTCATAAAACATGAATAAAAAAATTTTTATGTTCTCTAATCCCTGAAATTTCCATTCCAGAAAATTAAGTCTAATCAAATCTCATGGGGATTTCAAGGGATTCCCATGAAAATTAGTAAAACTTAATATGGAGCTATTTGAGAAAAGAAAGAGGCACGAGCAACTAGACGAGCAGCTTTATTTAAAGAATAGAGTGTTACATAGAGTTATGGTTACATATGGTTATATAAAGTTATATAGAGTTATACAGGGTTATATTGGGTATATATATATATATATATATATACATATAGGGAATTTCTTCATAGCTTTGTTGATTTCACGTGATACCATGGTGGTTATCTTCTTTGTTAAGGCACACGTGTGGGCCTATGTTGTGTATTCGTCGATCACATGTATACGAGTATACATATTTAAATATATATATACATATATATATATATATATGTGCTTATTTCTTAGCACGTAGACGTTATTTTTCCTATTTTTTCCATTTCCGCACGTCATTCCAGATTCCCGAACAGCGATTTCCTATTCCTTAAAATTCCCTTCCATTAAAATTAAGTTTTAACAATTTTCATGGGAAACTCATGGAAACCATGCCATTCTCTCTAATACATACACACGAATGTATACAGACATATGTATTAGATTTCGTATACGTTCATGCATGTATTCATTCACTGTATACCTGTTCTATTTTTATACAACATTTATTTACATCATTGATGGGGATTAGGCCATTCATTTTAGTAGGAGTTTTTTAAGCCTTTACTGTGTTCTTGTGTGCCCACATGTGACATATGGTTAGTTAGTGTCGCCATCGTTATTGCCGTTTTGTTATTTCGTCGTCGTTGTTAATGTTGTCTCTCTTATTTTTTGTTGCTGTTGTTGTAGTTTGTATGTATGTATTTTTATTTATTTATCTTGTAGTTTGTATTTTTATTTTTATTTATTTATTTATTTATCACAATACTTCCTTAAATATTTTTCAAATACAGAGTGCATTTAAATACACGCTAAACTAAACACCTCACGTGTGCGATAGGCGGGGAATTTCTCGCAATCTAAATCCACATATAGTTATTAATTATGTACTTTCCCATGCATTTGCGTGTTTATACAAACACACACACGCACGCACATGCACACGCACATGCACACACACACACACTCGTGATGAATATAGATAGATGATAGTGGAAACTTAACCAACATGAACAGATGTGTTGGTTGCTTGTAATTAAAATACTCTGTTCACACACTCACATGCATACATACATACATGCATACATGCATACATACATACATACATTACATACATACATACATACATACATACATACATACATACATACATACATACATACATACATACATACATACAAACAACAATGTGTATTTATATTGATGTATTGATGTGGCTGTTTTCAATTTTTCACTGTGCTAGTAGTTGAAGGCTTTCAGATGGGGAAAAGATATTGGTAGTATTTTGGTATTATGTAATAACAACATTATTAAGTATAATAATAATAATAACAATTATAGTAATAATAATGATAATAAATAAATTTTAATAAATTACTGAACCAATTATATTAATTGAATTATACTGTTTAATATACATATTCTGGAGTATTAGTACGTTGGGGTAGTAATTCTCATTAACTGCTTGGTATTTATCATTATTAGATGGTATGGTTGTATTTCTTGCCTAATTTTTTTAAAACTTTTTCATTTCTTTAAACAATTCCTAACTAGAATTTCAATAATACTCGTTACTCGTTGAATATTTGTGATTGTAGCAGTTGTAGTAGTAGCAGTAGTAGTAGCTGTAGCAGCAGCTGTATTATTAGTAGCAATAGTATTATTAATTACTTTTGATATATTTTTATAATGAGTGTAGTGGTATTTTAGTTACTAGTGTAGTGTTGTTGTTAGTGTATGTATGAATGAATGAATGAATTAATTAATTGATTAATTAATTAATCGATTTATTAATCAATTAATTAAGGAATGAAGGGGAATGAATGGAAATCTAATTTAATGTAATTTATGTATTAAGTTTACTTGCTAGCATACTGGCAGATTTATCATGGTTAATTACGTAGCTTTCATTAACTGTGTCAATCATATGTATGTAACTTTCTTTCCATTCTTTTATTCATTCATTCTTTTGTTTATTTATTCCTTCAGTCAATCGTCCATTTGATAGTTCTTGATTAAACTCTCTTGGTGTATTTAGTTTTTCTTTTTATCTATCTATATTTTAGAATTTATTTATTCAGTGCATTGCATTCATCCATCCGTCAATTCATTCTTTATCAAATGAGTGAATGAATGAATGGATAAATTAATGTATGAATGAATGAACGAATGAATGAATTAACGATTGAATGAACGAATGGGTAAATAGATAAATAATGGACCAGTGAATGGGTGGTTGTTGACTTATTGACATATGCAGTGTACACCTAACATACCACCATGTAGGTATTTATGTATGTGTGTTTGTATTACATACATGCAATACAAACACACATGTTTGTTTGTATTTATGTATGTATGTATGCATGCATGTATGTATGTATGTATGTATGTATGTATGTATGTATGCATGCATGCATGCATGTATGTTTGTATGCCCGCATGTAAAAACATGCCTTGCGTGGCATATTTTTTGAAGTATTATAGGCTCATGCAGACATCAATCATAACCTCACTAGTTTGATTTGTTGTTATACAAGTAGAGAGTGAGAAGAGAGGAAGGTTGTGGCATGTAATGTGTGCTACTACTACATACCTACTACTACATAGCATCATTTCCTCTCTTCAGAGCTACATTCTACATTTTACTAAGCTGTTTACTACCACTATTATTACTACTACTACTGCTGCTACTATTACTACTGCTGTTACTGCTGCTACTATTACTACTGCTGTTACTGCTGATACTATTACTACTGCTGCTGCTACTACTACCTAACTACTACTTCTAATATTATTGTTACTAATTTGTACTGTTACTTTTGCATCTCATTCTAGTACAGATGTTTACATATCAACAAGCGAGTACTGCTACCGCCACTACTACTACTGATTTGACTTGATTTATTTGTAATAACATTATCTATCAATCAATCAATCAGTCAATCAATCAATCAATCAATCAATCAATCAAATCTGATGGATTAATTGGAATACAATCTGGAATAAGATATCATTGGATATATATCATATGGATGGATGATAATTATAACAGACCAAATATTTTTATTGTTATATATATATATATATATATATATATATGTATATATATATATATGTATATATATATATATATATGTATGTATATGTATATTAATTTATTAGAATTATTTTTTTAATTTGGTAGTTAAATAAATTATTTAATGGATATTAAACTCAACAAAGAAGTAAGATATACTTATTTTGTTTTATTCAATTATTTTTGTCATTATCATTATTATTATCATCATCATCATTATTGTTATTATTATTATAAATTGAAATGTAATTACAGAGCATGTATATGTATATAGTATATATATATATATATATATATATATATATATATATATATATATATATATAGGCATATACAAAGTATACTTGGCATACATAATCTTATTTGAGGCATGTATAACCATTCAAAAAAATTGCAGGGGGCAAAAAATTTTAAAATGTGGCAAGAGCGTCCGAAGCGTCTGAAGTGTAGCCAAAGCGTTTATAATTTAGACGCCATTGCGATCAAATGTGGCTAGAGTGATCAAATGTGGCTAGAGTGATCAAATGTGGCTAGAGTAATCAAATGTGGCTAGAGCGTTATACAGATTATTATTATTGTTATTATTATTACTATTATTGTTGTTGCTGTTGTTGTTGTTATTATTATTTTGTTATTTGTGTTTGTTGATGATGTTATTATTATTATTGCTATGGTTATTAATGTTTTTGTCATGTCTATGTTTGTTTTGATTAGCATAGAGAGTGATGCTTTGTTGTTGTTTACTTATTGCCAGTTCTATTTTATTATTATTTTATTATTATTATTATTATTATTATTATTATTATTATTATTCTGAACTTATAAATGTATATTAATTGATTTATTTAATTGTAATTATATGATAATTAGATAAAAAATGATAAAAAATATAAAAAAGATTAATTAGGAGAAAAGATTATTATCTTAAAAAAGGCAAAAACAAACTGTATCATTGATAAATGATGTTATGTAATATTTGTATGTATGTGTATGTTATATTGCAATGTTTAGCTAAGTGGCTGGCTGGCTGACTGACTACCAAACCTTTAAAACAATTTAACCTATCATAATTAACCGACCTAATCAAACAATCAATCTGTTGTTCCACAAACTTGCAAAATTTAAATAAATATTGTTAAGTTGTAGGCATTGGTTCGTTCATCTTTCATTTAATATGGACCCTTGTAAATGCTCTATAACTATCATTATTAAAGAGGTTGGTCCGGAAATCTGCTATCAATCACACACGCACACACACAGACACGCACACACACATGTATACACGCGCGCGCACATCATTTAGATTGTTTATCTTTTTATTTTTACTTTTATTCATATACTCATTTTTGCGATCAATTTTCTCCTCCCTCCCCCACAATCCAGGAGCACGTGGCCTGCCAAAGGGAGAGTGAGGTGGCAGGGGCGTCCACTGTTGTCAAGGAGGAGGAGAGGGAGGCCTCGCCTACCCCACAGGCGGCTGCCCCCAAGAAGAGGAGTAGGAGGGGGGCAGTCAGTGCTGAGGTCTACACTGAAGAGGATGCTGCTTCGTACGTCAAGAAGGTTGGTTGGCTGGCTGGTTGGCTGGCTGGTTGGCTGGCTGGTTGGCTGACTGGTCGGTTGGTTGATGGATTTGTTAATTGATTGATTGATTGATTCGTTCGTTGGTTGATCAATTAGTTGATTGGTCAGTTAATTGATTGGTCAGTTAGTTGGTTGATCAGTTAGTTGATTGGTCAGTTAGTTGATTGGTCAGTTAGTTGGTCTTTCAGCTGCTTGTCTGAGTGAGTATACGAAGAGTGATTGATCGAGTGTGTTGATTGTTCGGCCATGCAGTTCTGCTTATTTGTTCCTTTGTTAGCTGATGAGGATGGCGAAAGCAGGCACAAGTGATAATGATGAGGAGGAGAAGGAGGATTGTATGTATGTGTGTGTGTGAGTGATGATGATAAGGACTATGCTGTTTGAGAAACACCATGTCAAAACTATTGCAAGAGATGCTGTCTTTAATTGAGCAATTAGATTGCCATTAAAAAATATATATATGTATATATGCATGTATATATATATATATATATATATGTGTGTGTGTGTGTGTGTGTGTGTGTGTCTGTTTGTCTGTCTGTTTGTGTGTGTGTGTATATGTATATGTATTCATATCATTAATATTCATATCATGTAACTTTTGTGATGGGCTGTAGCTTGCATGATGTAAGTTGGACCTCTGCTATTTATTTATTTTTGTATCTTTATTTATTTTGTTATTTTTTTATTATCGTTGGTCGATTGTTATTATTATTATATTAGTTGCTTATTGTGTTAGTGTTATTATGGAATATTCACTAATAGTTGCATGTATGTTTGTATGTGTGTGCGTGTGTGTGTGTGTGATAGTGATGATGATTACGATGAGGGTGAGATACTGATGATTAAGATGATGAAAGCTGTCAATTAATGATGATGACGACGACGATTGTCTGATGGCCATGTTGATAAACCCATAAATTTTAAACTTATACTTTTCCTTTCATCCTATTAGTGTAGTATTTGTGTATACATGTGTAGTTTTGTATGTATGTTTGTATGTTTTTGTCTATGTTTGTATGCATATACGTATTTTTTGTACATTTTTTCGTTCACTCATTCACGCTTTCCTTCATGTTTTTAATTTATCTTAATCCTGGTTGTCAGGGAATGTGTTTCTGCTGAAGAAATGAATGATGGATAGACGGATGGATTGCTGGCTGGATAAATGATGTGTGAAGAAATAAAAAATGGATGGATGGATAAAAGATGAATGAATGGATGGATGGATGGATAAAAAATGAATGGATATGTTTTATTCCTTTTCCTTATTCCACTTTGTCTATTTGTCTCTCATGCTTGTGTTGTGCATACGTTTGTATGTTTATATGAATGCCTGCTTGTTTTTTTGTATGTGTTTGTTTGTTTATTTGTATGTATGTATGTAATATTGTATAATAATAATAATAATAATAATAATAACAACAGGTAGTGCCGAAAGACTACAAAACCATGGCTGCACTGTCAAAAGCAATAGCCAGGAATGTTCTCTTCTCCCATTTAGACGATGCCGAGAGAAGGTTGGGGATAATGATGATGATGTTTTGATGATGATGATGATGATGATGATGATGATGATGATGAATGCAGTATTAAGGACAGCGTTAACAACGAACAACATTAACAAACCTCACTCACAACAGTGACATATTTGATGCCATGTTTTCCGTGAACAGACATGCCGGAGAAATTATCATACAACAAGGTTATCTGGTGTTTGTTTGTTCGTTCGTTCGTTCGTTCGTTCGTTGCTTGCTTGTTTGTTCGTTCGTTTTTTCGTTCGTTGCTTGTTTGTTTGTTATTGTCTGTCTTTGTTTGTGTATGTTTGTTTTTAGATGCTTAAAAAAGTTTTTTGCATCTTGTTTCTAGGTGACGAAGGCGATAACTTCTATGTGATTGATCATGGAGAAGTTGATGTAAGTTGATTTTGCCGTTGCTCGTTGCTGCTGATGTTTGCACTGTTGGCTGTTGATGAAGCTGCTGCTTCAGTTGTTGATGCTTCGGTTTTGTCATTTTAGCTGCTGTCATCGTCACGTTGTCGGTTCATTTATGTTGCTTACGTTTTCATTTTTATATTTAGATTCTGTCAATCTCCACATATCATTAACATAAATCCGCCCATCGACCAGATCTACGTTAACAACGACTACATAAGTACGATTGGCGAGGGAGGTAGTTTCGGAGAACTTGCTCTGATCTATGGAACGCCAAGGGCGGCCACCGTCAAGGCAAAAAGTGACTGCAATCTCTGGGGCATTGATAGGGATAGCTATAGAAGGATTCTTATGGTTCGTTCTTTGATTGTTGTTGATTGATTGACTGATTAGTTGGTTGGCTGGCTGGTGTTGGCTGGCTGCTTTTGTGTGGTGTTAGTTTATATAGTTGTTGAGTTGTAAGGTGTGCGTCGTGTATGACGTTGCTGTATTTGTATGTTTGTGTATATATGTGCACGTGTATATGTGTGTGTGTACGTGTGTTTAAATCGTTGCACGTGCAAACAACAGGGTAGTACAATCCGTAAGAGGAAGATGTACGAAGAGTTCCTCAGTAAGGTCTCCATACTTGGTCAGTTTGTAGTCATTTTGTACACTTGAGTTCATTTGTTTATCTAGTTCATTTTTTAATTGGATATCTACTTATCTATCTATCTATCAATCAATCGATCGATCATTCAATCTTACGACTACCTTGACAACCAAACATTTGATCAAGCGTCAATCAATCCGTCAATCAATTAGTCAATCAATTAGTCAATCAATCAGTCAAACAATCAATCAGTCAATCAATCGGTCCGTCACTCATTCACCCAATGAACTGACCAACCAATCAGAAAACTTGGACAAGTGGGAGAGATTGACGGTGGCAGATGCTTTGGAGCCAGTGCAGTTCGAAGATGGTGCCGTCATCGTTAGGCAGGGCGATGCTGGTGATGATTTCTTCATCATCGTCGAGGTTAGTCATGATTATGATGATGATGGGGGTCAGGATGATGATGATTTATCATTATGATGATAATGATGATGATGGAGATGATAATTGGCTTTCTAACTAAAGAGTCAATATCTATTTTTATACAGAGTAGACAAAAACTACTGACTAATAAGCACCATTATCGCTGCAATCTTTGATATCATCGTCACCACAATCATTATCACCACTATCATCATCATCACCACTATCATCACCACCACTATCATCATCACTACCACTATCATCATCACGATTACTATCATCATCGTCGTCGTCATCACATAGGGTGCAGCAACGGTTCTTCAGAAGAGGGCAGAAAATGAAGAACCCGTGGAAGTTGGACAGCTCGGTCCGTCTGATTACTTCGGTCAGTTAGATCTTTTTATTATTGTTATTATTATTGTTATTATTATTATTATTATTATTATTATTATTATTATTCTTGCCCACGCAGGTGAAATAGCCCTGTTATTGGATAGACCCCGTGCGGCTACTGTTGTGGCTCATGGCCCCCTCAAGTGTGTGAAGATGGATAGATCGAGGTTCGAGAGAGTTCTCGGCCCGTGCTCTGATATCCTCAAGCGTAATATCGCTCAGTACAACAGCTACGTCTCCTTGTCCGTCTAGGCTCTCTCTCTCTCTCTCTCTCTCTCTCTCTTTCTCTCTCTTTCTTTTTCAATTCTTTCTCTATATTTATTATTCCTTTTTGGTTTTACATTATTCTTTTTTTCAACCTAATTTTTTTTAATGTTGTTTCATTTCATCATATCTTCTCTCTCTCTCTCTCTCTCTCTCTCTTTCTCTCTTATTTAGTGGGGTTTTTGTACGTGGGTGGAAAAGGTTATGGAGAAAAATGGTGAGAGTGAGAAGAGAGTAGAGAAAATGATGATGAAGATGATGGTGAAGATGATGATGAAGATGATGGGTTTTTAGGATTTTCGGTTATTGGAATATTTGTTACCACTTCACCTCTTTTCTTTCAGTTTCGTTTTCTTCAAATGTTTTTAGTAGAATCTTTTAAAAATGGCCGCTATTATTATTATTATTACGTTTGTTATTATTATTGTTATTGCTGATATTATTATGATTATCATTATTAATATTAGCTAGCTAGTGGATGGATGTAATGGTTGATTTGAATGAAACCTTTCATTTATTCAAATTTGAAATTTTGGTGACTCAGTTATGATGGTGATGATGATGTGATGATGACGATAATGTGATGATGATGATGGTGATGATGACGATGATTTAATGATGATGATGATTGGTGGCATAAGCAAGGATGCTGATGATGATTCTAGATTTCAAGGTAACACCTTTTATTCATATCTTATTTTACACTCAATTGACTTGTTAACGAATTGTAATATGATTTTTATTCACGATTATTTATAATTGTGTGTGTGCGTGTGTGTGTAAGCGCGCGTGTGTGTGTGCGTGTGTGTGTGTGCGTGTGTGTGTGCGCGTGTGTGTGTGCGTGTGTGTGTGTGTACATGTACTATTAAGCGGCGATGAGGAAGATGATGATTGATATGAAACAATGTTTAATCTTCTTAAATTTCAATGCACCGAACTCTATGCTGATTTATGATAAACATTTATATACATACATACATACACGCACACACTGACGCACACTTATGCATACTCATCACACACACATACACACACACAGAGACACACACACATATTTAACAGCGTGATATGAACGGGATGAACAATGTTAACAGTACTAACTAATTAATAACATGTATTTATAAATAAGCAATAGAGCAACACGCACACACACACACACACACACACACAAGTGTATATATATATACACTTTTGATGTATCTTCATGAAAATTACTCTAACATTAATCATTATTATCGATGTAGTTACAAAAATTATTGTCGTTGTTGTTATTATTATTGTTGTTAATATATTTGTTACCATCTGAAACACTGCTGAATATTTATTTAATACTGGTTGATATTATTTGATTTTATTATTATTCCTTCAGAATGTATAACTATCATCATTATTATCTGTTGTTGTTGTTGTTGTTGTTAGTATTATTTGGTTGATTGATTAGTTGAATGATTAATTGATTGATTGGTTGGTTGATTATTAAGAGGATTGCTTCCCATGTAAGTGGCTGATATATGATTGATTGGTTAACAAATTGGCTGGTTGGTTGGTTGGTTGATTGGTTGGTTGGTTGATTGGTTGGTTGATTGATTGGATGGTTGATTGATTGGATGGTAGGTTAGTTGATTGGTTGGTTGGTTGATTGGTTGGTTGGTTGGATGGTAGGTTAGTTGATTGGTTGGTTGATTGATTGGTTTGAAGATTGTCTGGTGCTCGTTCTGACTAAACAGCGTCCGAAAAGCAATATTCGTCTCTCTAACACCTGTTCACGCACGCACATCTTCGACCTTCCTCTACCTTAATTTACAATGTTTCTATTTTTCGTTTTGGTCTGTATGCGTATGTATGTGTATGTGTGTGTGCGCGTGCGCGCGCGCGTGTGTGTACGTGTTTGTGTATGTATGTATGTGCGTATGCTGACGCGCGTGTGTGTTTTCATTTTTATTTGAAGTTATATGTAGCAGATCATTTTGACTTATTGTAAGAAAGCGCTGATGATGATGAGGATCATGATGATGAGGTAGGTAAAATGCTAATATATATGACGACGATGATGATAATAATAATAATAATAATGAAGATGATAGTTAATATATCTTATTTAGATATGCATGATATCAAAATTTAATGTGAAAATCTCTGATACCTGTATTGATATTGATATAAGGAGGTTTTTTCATTAGCGTGTATAGCTACAATATCAGCGATAATAAAATGTTATTAGTGGTTTATGGCTTTGGTTTTTTAAGTGATTGAATGAATGAATGAATGAATGAATAGATGGATGAATAGATGAATGATTGATTAAATGGATGTATGAAATATTGATTGAATGATTGATTGACTTTTATTGCTAATAGCGTTATTGTCGTTTCGTTTTATTCATTATAAATGTGGATGATAATATATTGCGTTATAATAAGTTATATAAAATAGTAAAATCTATACAGTTAATGATAAAAATACTGTCAATGATAATAATAATAATAATAATAATGGTATATATAGCTGCCAACAAAATGCATACATATGTACGTACGAACGTACACACACAAGCAGACGTACATGCAAACGTACATATATGTTAATATTAGTGATTGTAGTTTCGTTTAGATTTCTTTAATTTAAATTTTTACATTTTCATTACTTTCAAATGGATTATGCGTAAGATCTGTAATCCACAAATTACATTAATTAATTAATTAATTAATTAATTGTGGTAGCGTTGTGATAGTTCTTTTGAATGCTAGTATTAATATTACTTCGATCTATCCATACACCGTTTTTAATTGGAATAGATATGTAATGTGTACTCTCTTTATATAAATATTATATATATATATATATATATATATATATATATATATATATATATATATTGGATTAACACTGTCAAAAATGCAATTATTGGTGAAAATCACAGCATGTTCCGCGTTTGTTAGCTTCCTTTTTAGTTTTTCGATTTTTCTAACGGTAGATCGTAAATCATTGTCAAGTTTCTTGAGTTCAAAACCAAAATTTTTATTTATTTTAAGCGTGATAGGACATATAAGCTTGATAGAATTATTTTAAGCGTGATAGGACATATAAGCTTGATAGAACAGAAAAGCTTTTTCCGGTATTCCTATACTATCTTCGGTTCGTAGATAATGTATTATTAAGTGGCCGAATGCCCAAGTACATATATTCCGTGTCTCTACAATGTTAATTCTTTGTTTAATATGAATACTTGACGGTCATTTAGTTGGTTATTGCGATCTTCAACATTGTGTAATGTGACACTTTTGCGTATCGTCACCATCGGCGATTCCTCTGTTCCTAAATTTATAAGTAGGGAGGATTACATCTGCACGTTGTTGGACATTAAGCAATTCAGGGATTCCAACTGGACGTTGAATTTTTTTTTTGAACTCAAGAAACTTGACAAGGGTTTACGATCGATCCTACCTTTGGAAAAAGAGAAAAATTAAACATGAAGCTAACTAACGCGGAACATGCTGTGATTTTTATAATATATACATATATATATATATATGACTTAACTAGCTTTTTATTCTTAGTTAAGTTTATCTATTGTTGAAGCGTAACACATTACAAAGTAAAAATTTATGCATTTTTATATAATCACATATCTTAGTAATCTTAATACTAGTAAATTAAACGAAAATGATAATGAATTTTGTGATGATGATGGTGATCATATAGATGATTATGATAATGAGTGTGATGCTGAAGGTGATGAGGACGATGAAGATGAAAATGTTGATAAAGATAAAGGTGATATCTCTAACGTTTTAAAATTTATTTCTATCTTTTTGCTAATATCCACAAACTACTTTCTTTTTTACTTTTTTTGTAACAAAATAATAGTATAACATTACATTTAATTATAATGTAGCATGTGTAATATGAAGATATACCCATTCAGGGCTTGCGGGAGTCATCCAGGGGTCTGTTTTTGAGGCCCTGTGAAACTCTTAGGCCCATGCCAAACGACCTTCCTAGCCCACCGTCTTCAAGGGCCTGTACAATTATATTAATAGACTAAAATTTATTACTTATATAATATAAGTTATAATTATTAAAACGTCTTTATATGCGCTAAAATTTCTTTGACAGCGGGCTATTATACTAAGCCACCAAGTTTTTTTCATTGGTTTTTCTCGGTAGTTTGAAACACTTTTCTAGTTGTAATATTTAAACATAGTTTGTATCGTTTGTACCTTTTTCATTTAATAGACTTAATATTTGATTGGAATTTAAAATTTAATGCACACGCGGACGTGCATACATACTTGCACACATACGGGGTCTTTTCAGGAATTACAAATTATTTGTGAATTATTTTTATTCTGAAAACTATACATACACACACGCATATATATATATATATATATATATATATATATATATATAATAAATATGTTAAAAATTAATTTGTTAAAAATATTGATGAAATTTTTCCGACGCGTGTGTTGGTATAGATAGTTCTCATACATTTACATACATCAAATTAATCCGATTGTTAATTTTATATTAATTTCAGTTGCATGCACTGCGTTTTAAACCGAAAATTTATTTAATTGATTGGTTGAATTTTATTAAAAGTTTACTAAATTAACCTTTAAATCTATAAATATTGAAATTTATTTAGAATTTAAGCTAATATTGTTAGAAAATATGCGTTTATACAGTTTGTGATGTGCATATGGATGTGCGTTGTTACGCAATATCCACGTCATGAAATTTTTGTTTAAAAATTTTTGTTTAAAAATTGAACTATAGAACTAACCGAACTTTACGCCTAAAGTATCTGTGACATTATGTATTACTCATCTGTTTATAGCCTTTGTAGGTCACCTACGATTATTACTAGAGTGATTTTTTGTGAAAGTTTCGTTAACGAGTTAAAGCCTGTGACGTTGAATCTTCTCTTGTTTGTAGTTGAGTAAACTGGTGTAGCTTGCACAATTGTCATGTTATCGATATTCCGTAGGTTCGTAATTCATGATAGATAAACACAACAGCTTCAAACGATACGACAGAAAAGTTACAATAGCTTGATAGATAGATGGATGAATGGATGGATAGATAGATAGATAGATAGAGAGATAGATAGATAGATAGACAGACAGATAGATAAAATTCTCCATAAAAATATATATAGAAAGAAGGATAGGGAGGATAGGGTAGAAAAATTTAAATACATTATATATTTTATAAAAGATATGTGGATCGTCATCTACGCTTGCACCATAAACTTATTCTACATATATGCTTAGTTAAAATGGTTCTATTTATATGGTTAGACTACCTTGTACGTATAGTTAGCCATAGTTTAGTTTCCATGCCATGTTTACAACACAGTTTTACGATCTCAGCCTGTTTGCAGGTTGTAGTCAGGTTGTTGTTTGGTGAATATTTTATTGACGACTGTCTTAAAATTTTAAACAGTTCATTTTAAAGGTGAGTAAATATTTTAGTAAGAATAATTCATTGGGTTGGTTTGTATATTTTTAAATTTTGTATATTTTTAGGTTCGTTAGACACAGATAAATGAGATAGATGCTGAATAAAATAATGTGTACATTGTATTTCCAATGTATTGTATTGTAATCTGTAATTGTAATCACTAATTATTAGCAATGTGAATAAAAATAGTTAACTTATTATAAGTTCGCCGTTCACTAATGAATTATAGATTATAGAGTATTTGATGAAATAAGTAACAAATATTATTTATCTGTCTGTATGTTGTGTTCCTATTCTATGACATTTGTAATTAATTTGGTTGACATTATTTATATCAGGTTTCATAGTTGGGTCTGAGTATTACCTGGTTATTATGCATTAAGATTAAATTAATTAATATTAATTTAAATTGTTATATATAAATAATAAAATAAATTTGTTTGACAGGTGATCGTGTTTATATCCAAATCTAATTAGTCAGTTTTGGCAGTAGCTATACATCATATACATAGGAGACAAAGATGAGGAGCGAAGATGGTTAGTTTTTTTCGTTTTTACTTATATCACATATATAATATATGATATTGGGTATTTGAAATTGAAATTCATATTTCAGACATGTTTAGTATTATTATATATTATTTAAATAAAATAATAATTTATATATCCTATCAGTTGATATAGATGATGAAGGTGATGAGCTTACATCAGAACTCTGGCAGGAGGCTTGTTGGATCGTTATAAGTTCATATTTTGATGAGAAGGGTCTGGTTAGGCAGCAGTTGGATTCCTTTGATGAATTCATTCAGATGTCTGTCCAGAGAATTGTTGAGGACACTCCGCAGATCGACTTGCAGGCCGAAGCACAACATACCAGTGGCAACATTGAAAATCCGGTTTGCATTTCTCTCATCTTTGTTTATTATATGATTTTTAAATTTACTTAAATATTTTGTATTATTCTCAACTTTTCGTCATATCAATATATTTTTATTATTACATTTTTTTAAATATTGGCAAATTTTAATTTTTATGACAAAAAATTTATTTTAATTAAAAATAACTACCAATTGTAGCCACACTACCAATTGAAGTTTGAGCAAATTTACTTATCAAAACCAACGCACTGGGAGAAAGATGGCGCTCCTAGTCCAATGATGCCCAACGAAGCTCGTCTTCGTAACCTTACATACTCGGCCCCCCTCTATGTCGACATTACAAAAAAAGTCATTAGGGATGGAGAAGAACCAGTCGTTACAAATCATCAGAAAACTTTCATTGGTTAGGTTTGATATTTTTTTGTCAAAAAAAATAATTTATAAAATAAATTTTTTTTTTTCATTATAATTGTTAAAAATACTAATGCTAGTATGATAATTATTATATCAAATATTAATAACTTTAAAACATTTTCCAGGTAAAATCCCCATAATGTTGCGATCCACGTACTGCTTGCTTAGTGGATTGACGGATCGTGATTTGACAGAATTAAATGAATGTCCACTCGACCCCGGGGGCTATTTCATCATCAACGGTTCCGAAAAGGTTCTCATCGCCCAGGAGAAGATGGCCACCAACACAGTGTATGTTTTCAGTCAGAAAGATTCTAAATATGCCTATAAAACCGAATTGAGATCGTGTCTGGAACATTCCTCGAGGCCGTCCAGCACCATGTGGGTCAATATGATGGCCAGAGCAGGAAGTGTAAGTCATGATGATGATGCTGGGATGATGGTGGCAATTGTTGTCACCTTACGTTATCTTATGTTATAATGGCTTTTTGTATAACCATTTTCATTTTTCAGGGTGCCAAAAAAGTGGGCATTGGCCAGAGGATAGTAGCTCTCCTCCCATACATCAAACAGGAAGTTCCCATCATTATTGTCTTTAGGGCTCTGGGATTTGTATCCGACAGAGATATCCTTGAACATATCATCTACGATTTTGATGATCCTGAGATGATGGAGATGGTGGGTTTCATTGGGATTATGGATTATGATTATAATGCATTATGACGATGATGATAATAAAAGTATTTCCAACAATCAGATAAGTCAAATAAATTTTATATGACGAATTAAATTTCATATTCATAACAAATCTCAGGTCAAACCATCGATAGATGAGGCATTCTGTGTCCAGGATCAGCCGGTGGCCTTGAACTTTATTGGAGGGAGGGGGTCGAGACCTGGGGTGACCAGGGAGAAGAGGATCAAGTACGCTAAGGAGATTCTCCAAAAAGAGATGTTGCCGCATGTCGGTATCAGTGACTTTTGCGAAACCAGGAAGGCATACTTTCTTGGGTTAGTTGATGATTGGCTGGTTTAATGAGTGAGTGAATGAACGAAGGAAGGAAGAAGAAAGAAAGGAATGAATGTTATTATTTCATAACAGCACTATAAAAAAAATTATCAATCTAACATTAAATTGCATCTTTCCCCCACAGTTACATGGTGCATCGTTTGCTGTTGGCAGCACTAGGCAGAAGAGAAGTTGATGACAGAGATCACTATGGAAACAAGAGATTAGATCTCGCCGGACCCCTTCTTGCTTATCTCTTCAGAGGGTATGCATTTTTTCTTTTTCTCCTGTTACTCTCTCTCTCTCTCTCTTTCTCTCCCTCTCTCTCTCTCTCTCTCTCTCTCTCTCTCTCTCTCTCTCTCTCTCTCTCTCTCTCTCTCTCTTTTAAACCTCTCTATCTCTGTCTGGAACTTTTGTCACTAACACATTTCTATCATTGTAACATCAAACAGGCTATTCAGAAATCTTTCCAAAGAGATCAGACTGTATGCTCAGAAGTTTATAGACCGTGGTAAAGACTTCAACCTTGAACTTGCTATAAAAACTCGAACAATCACCGATGGCCTCAAGTATTCGCTGGCAACAGGAAATTGGGGCGATCAGAAAAAGGCTCACCAGGCAAGGGCCGGTGTTTCTCAGGTTTGTATTGTTGTTGTTGTTGCTGCTGCTGCTGTTGTGTTTTTTTTCTACGTGTTTTTCTGTGTGTGTGTTTTAATATTAACATGATGGTAAAATTGAATTGAATTGCTTGCAGGTACTGAATAGGCTGACATTCGCATCCACGCTCTCACATCTAAGAAGGTTGAACTCTCCAATTGGCAGAGACGGAAAGCTGGCGAGACCTAGGCAACTTCACAATACTCTGTGGGGTTAGTTTTGCTGCTATGCTGTTTCATATTTTGCAAGTAGTTGTGAAAATGTTTCAATTTTAAACCAAGTTTGATTCGTGATGCATAAAAACTTTTTCATGGATTTTGTTAAATTTAAATTTAATTTGATAAATTCATTCATAAATTGGCCATATTTATTCTTCACAATCCATGACACAACCCACAGGCATGATCTGTCCGGCCGAAACCCCAGAAGGATGCGCAGTTGGCTTGGTAAAGAACCTCGCCCTCATGGCTTACATATCTGTCGGCTCTCAACCATCCCCCATACTCGAGTTTCTGGAGGAGTGGAGCATGGAGAATCTGGAAGAGATTTCTCCCTCTGCTATCATGGATGCTACCAAAATTTTCGTCAACGGATGCTGGGTGGGCATTCACAGGGACCCAGAACAACTAATGAACACTCTGAAGAAACTTCGTCGTCAGATGGATATCATCGTATCCGAGGTATCCATGATTCGGGATATCAGGGATAGAGAGATTAGGATATACACTGATGCCGGCAGGATATGCAGGCCTTTGCTCATTGTCGAGAATCAAAAACTTCTACTCAAGAAACGACATATCGATCTACTGAAGGAGAGAGAGTACAACAATTATAGGCGAGTGTCTGTGTATACGTGTGCGTGTTTGTGTGTGTGTGTGTAAAAGGATAATAATATTGACAAATTTATGGATGATCAACAGTTGGCAAGATTTGGTGGCGAATGGAGTAGTGGAGTACATTGATACGATGGAAGAAGAAACTGTCATGCTGGCTATGACTCCTGAAGAACTTGTCGAGAAAGGTGGGTCACTCTTATGAGCGAGACGACTAAAATGATGATGGCAATGACGTCATGAGTAAGATGATCAAAATGATGGTAATGGTTTAACGATGATATTGTTCACAATGAAAAAAAAAACCACAACGACAGGTGTTTTGTACTGCACAACGTACACGCACTGCGAAATTCATCCATCGATGATACTTGGTGTTTGCGCCTCCATCATACCATTCCCAGATCACAACCAGGTTACTTGCTACATCTCTCACATAATTCCTTTTATTGTCCTTCGCCATTGTCATATTCATTATTACGTCACCGTTATGACGTCATCATATCGTCCATTACTAGCTACATCACTAACTACACATTATTATGATTGACAGTCACCACGTAACACCTACCAATCCGCTATGGGCAAGCAAGCCATGGGTGTCTACATTACAAACTACCACGTCAGGATGGATACATTGGCCCACGTTCTCTTTTATCCTCAGAAGCCCCTCGTCACTACAAGGTCCGTCGATTGAGTGTTTGATGGATCGATTGTTGGTTTGTTGGATTGAAATGTTGGTTGGTTGGTTGGTTGATTGATTGATTGGTTGATTGATTGATTAATTGAATTCAAGGCCACCTATCATCCATCTTCCCACACAGATCGATGGAGTACCTGAGGTTCAGAGAGCTACCCGCTGGCATCAACAGCATCACAGCCATTGCCTCGTACACTGGATACAATCAGGAAGATTCAATCATCATGAACGAGTCAGCTGTCGATCGCGGGTTTTTCCGATCAGTTTTTTATAGATCGTACAAGGACGCCGAATCAAAGAAGGGGTTCGATCAGGAGGAGGTGTTTGAGAAACCTGATAGATCTTACGTGCAAGGCATGAGGAATGCATCTTACGATAAGCTGGACGATGATGGCATCATATCACCGGGTATCAGAGTATCTGGAGATGATGCTCTCATTGGTAAGACTATCACACTGCCTGAAAATGAAGACGAGGTTTGTTGTTGTTGTCGTCGTTGTTGTTGTTCTTCTTGTTGTTGTTGTCGTTGTTATTGTTATGGTGGTGGTGTTATGCTGTTGTTTTAAACAATTTGAGATGAAACTTTTAGCTCGAGGGCCAAGCGAGGAGGTACACGAAACGAGACAACAGTGTCTTCATGAGAAAAAGTGAAACAGGAGTGGTGGATCAGGTGATGCTGACGATCAACCAGGATGGCTACAAGTTCTGCAAGATCCGTGTCAGGACCATCAAGACGCCGCAGATTGGCGACAAGTTCGCCAGTCGCCACGGTCAGAAAGGAACTTGTGGCATGAGATACAGACAAGAAGTGAGTATCGATGATGTTTGTTTGTTTGATTGTTTGATTAGTGGTTTGTTTGATTGGTGGTTTTGTTTGATTGGTGGTTTGTTTGATTGGTTGTTTGTCACAAGTAGCCAATGTCGGCTGTATGACTTTCATCTTTTGATAGATACACATTAATATTACCCCCGCCCCAATTTAGGATATGCCATTTACAGCAGAGGGCATCAGCCCGGACATCATCATCAACCCTCACGCCATTCCTTCTCGTATGACGATTGGTCACTTGATTGAGTGCCTGCAGGGTAAGGTGGCGGCCAATAGGGGTGAGATAGCTGACGCCACCCCATTCAATGATACCGTCAATGTCAGGAAGATATCCGATGTTCTCAAGGAGTATGGGTATCATATGCACGGAAATGAGGTCTGTCGTTCGTTTGTTCGCTGTTCATTCTTGAATTGAAAATATTTACTTGTTACAATGTTACAGAAAATGCTTTTTGTTAATTTTTGAATTAAAAGTATGTTCGTAGTATAATGTTATAAAAAATTCCAATTCATTAATTGCAGGTCCTCTACAACGGTCACACCGGTCGCAAGATGGTTTCTCAGATATTCATCGGACCAACGTACTACCAGAGGTTGAAGCATATGGTGGACGACAAGATACATTCAAGGGCCAGAGGTCCAGTGCAGATTTTAAACAGGCAGCCTATGGAGGGTAGATCAAGGTCGGTTGGTTTGTTGCTCGATTTGTGATTGGCTGGCTTGTTGATTTGGGTTGGATTGTGATTGAGTTGGTTGTTTGGTTGGTTTACGATAATATATATCATTATAATTCATGCTTAACCAACCTTTTATTATGATTAACATTCCTTGAACAGAGATGGTGGGCTACGTTTCGGCGAGATGGAGCGTGATTGTCAGATTGCACATGGGGCTGCACAGTTCTTGAAGGAAAGGTTGTTCGAGGTCTCCGACCCCTACCCTGTGCACGTCTGTAACCTCTGTGGTCTCATCTGCATTGCCAACCTCAGGAATCAGAATTTTGAGTGCAGAGGATGTAAGAATAAGACGCAGGTTTGTGGCTAATTCTATTTTGTTTCTATTTTACCATCACCTCTATCATCACGGTCATCATCACCACAACTTTCATCATTATCATAATCTCCACGTCGCCACACACACACACACACACACACACACACACACACACACACACACACAGATATCTCAGATCCGGATGCCGTATGCGTGCAAGCTTCTCTTCCAGGAGCTCATGTCAATGAGTATTGCCCCGCGAATGATGGTCACGTGAATGATGACGTAATGATGGTGATGGAGAGAAGGATGATGGGATGAGTGATGACGAACGAATGAATTTTATTTTATGTTAAATAAGAGAAAAGGACACATTTCATATAAACAAATTACAAACATATACCGACTGCGTTTCGCTCTTATTTTTGTTTGACTGAATATCTTATTTTATTCGACTGAAAATATAATCATTTTTTTCTGTCTTACTAACATTTTTATATTAAAAAGCGAGTTGTTCAATTCAAGATGTAGAAAAATAGAAAAACGCGTCTGACGGATTCGAACACGACATTCAAAAAAATTTAAAAAATATTTTTATATAAAAGCGGATTTGGCACGCGAAAAACAGATTATTCATAAAGATTTTAAAGATCATTTCGTATATCTTATATATCTATCTTGTATATCTTATGTATCTCGTATATCCTATTTTATCGTATATTTATCTCGTATATCTATCTTGTATATCTTATGTGTGTAGAAGAGTAATAAGCTAATTCAAACACATTCATATTATGCCCAAGATGATTTGTCTTCATGCAGTTATGTTATATCGGCTTGTTCGCTTTCCTTCACGGTGTTATCGGTGTTGCTGTGATGTATATCATCATTTTTAGTGTCATCATTGTCAGTGTTGCCATTGTTAGTATCGTCATTGTTGATGTCGTCTGATCGAGCAAAAACTTCGTTGGAATGATGCACTTTCATACGATGACGACGATGGTGAATCTTTTTGTGGCACTGTCGACAATGATGATGATGATGACGACGACGAATATGATGTTGATGAACTGGTGGCAAGTTCTCCGTCGAATTTGTCGTCGTATCGAACGATGACGTCATCGTGACGTAACGTCCATCATCGCATTGACTACCGCTGTTGCTATTGTTTTCTAGTAGCTCACTGCCTCTAATTTTTCGCTTGCGAATTACTTTCATTAAGAAGTTATCGCCAGCGTAGAACTTTTTTTTTTTGTCGTTGGATTTGTTGCTTGTCAAATTGTCCAATTCGTAGTCGCGATTTTTTCCGTTACCGTCGCTTTCCTTTAATGTATCGCGATCGCGATCATAATTATTCAAGCTTTGGTCGTCCGTTTCACGACGATTCGACACGTCAACGTCGTCATCTACACTTTGTTTGTGGCAGTCGGTGGTGTCGTCGTCGCTGCTGTCTTCGTTGCTTTGTATGCTACTTGCATCTCGAACTGCTTTTTTTGGATGTTTTCCTTTTTTCCTGAAGTGAATAAAAGTTGAAATTCCACAATTTGTAAATTTTAAATTCTCAAACTCGTTAACCTCAAGTTTCCAAATCTCTAGTGAAGTTTATAAGATTGAAAGAAACAAACAAAAAACATCAGCAGGCACCTCAACTTCCTCCTCCTCTTCACCCACTCATCCATGCTTCCATTCTCGGTAACGACTTTCATCACGTGGCACCTCAGCTTGTGTCGGAATGCATAAACGTTCAACCTCCTACTCGCCTTTCCAGGCTTGCACGACGTTCGCATTTGCTGCTGCCGATGGCGATAGAGTGCGAAACTGCAGAGGAGCAAGAAGGCGTTTATGAGGAAGACCAATGAGAATATCAGGCCGAATGCTGTGTAATCTGCAGATGTAAATCACTCGATGTATTGTTAATGATTTAAGAAGTTTTTGAACGAAACGACACAATTTTATTCAATTATAAAAATTGCGAGAGAAAATACTGTTACAGAGTTGACTAGAGTAAAATTTTAAGAATTAATCAAATCCGCTTGTCGATAGCTACACATTTATAAGCATCAGATTTTACGCTGCATCTAGCCAACTAACTCACCAGTAGAGATAGCCTCGCAGCACGTGATCTTATCGAGACAGGTGACGTCATAATTTAAGGCTTTTGCCCTGTAGCCAGGTAGGCAGTAGCACGTGGATTGGTTGGTTTGCTGGCTCCTCTCAACTATACCGTGCTCGATTCGCAACAGTTGCGAACAGTTCCCTGCGTCATCTAGAAATCAATTGGGAACGAATTATTAACAGTAGCAACAGTTACCACTCAAAATACCCAAATAGCCCCCTACAGTACAAAAAACAAATACGTCATTGCCATTTCATATTCACAAATCAAACCAACGACAACAATCAACATACCTGATGCAGTATCATTCAATAATAATAGTTCGTTTGTCATATTCCATTGAAGTGAGGCCATAATTAATATCAATTAGAGTTAGCTACTCTACCAAAATTGACATATTTGAAAAATTGTCTTAATTTATATAAAAAACAAACATTAATACAGAACTATAAATTTATTTTTGTTACGTTTTAATAAATAAATATCTCAAAATTAAGAATTTTTGTTACGTTTTAATAAATAAATATCTCAAATTTACGAATTTCACAAAATATCATTCGTCATTAGTGTAGAAACCGCTCGTCAAATTTTTGCATTATATATACACGAATATATATATATATATATATATATATATATATATATATATATATATATTATCAACAATTTATTAAGCGCATTATGCAAGTATGCATGCATACTTATGCTTAAATACACATACACTCACGCATAATTAAACGAGTAAATGGTTTTTAAATGCTATCTTTGTTGAGCAACAACAATTGCTCAGTTTGAAAGTCATTAAAAAAATTCTAATCTACGAGTCTTTCTAATTGGGAAACAAAGAAGCATAAAAGCATACTGGAAAGTACAAACAAATACCAAAAAGATACAAAGAAATAAGATACATACATGTATATGATAGTACATAGGCATGCGTGTGTATGTATGTACATCAAGGTGTGTATAATTTATCGCGGTACCATAGTAAACGAAGATGAATATAATTGCCACTAATATTTTTATAATTATTATTATTGCTATTATCTCTAGAATAGTTCATATAACAATTGTTTGCATTGTCGTTACTCCTGTGCTGTTATTATTGTTTCTTTTTTTCAACGTGCAAATGGAAAGAGAGTATTGATCTAACGTACGTACATGTACAACACGTATAACAATTGTTTTAATTTCAGCGCTATATAAGTGGATATACACACACACACACATGTATATTTAAGCAAATTCCACACAGGCACCTTTAAAAAATACTATATTATATTCGTTACGAGTTAATAGAAACCGAATCAAGATGATGTTTCAATTGAAATAATTAGTTTCTTTTGAATACTTCATGCTAACATGTGTATGCATGTATATATGTACACATGTGTGTGTGTGTGTATGCATGTACGTATGTGTGTAAATAATGATTTTTGTATCAATAAGGCAATGATGATTATCGAATTCCTTTAAAACGAACAGTAATGACGACTAATCACATTAAAAGCAATTTATGACAAAAATTATTCATTTATAGTGAAGAAGTTAAATAAATATCGATATAAAAAGAACGCGACACGATAATGAAGGTTTATAATGAACCGCATTCTAGATTTAAACAATTAATTAATGTAATGGTATATGTCATCAATCAAACAATCAACTAGGTAATCAATCAATCAATCAGTCAGTCAGTCAATCAATCAGTAGTCGAGCGATCAATCAAATAACTAATCCCCCAATACACCTTTCGGTCGTTCATTCACTCAAAACTGTATTGAATTCAGCAAAGGAACGAGCCAACGCGTAGTACACATCTCAATCAAGCAGCGTCCTCATCTTCTATTGGGACGAAATGCTGCAGTCATAAATAATTATACACTATCATAATTTCGTATTTAATAAATTAATCACATAATCGCTTAATTACTTTCATTACCTATTAAAAATAACAGCCAAAATTATTATCTAAGAGACAAACATCTGCCAAAACTATTTTCTTTCCTTAACAGCAGAATGGGAATAAATAATAGTTATAGATCTTAAAATGCGATCTAACAAAACTTAAAGGGCGAAATTATAAATAGTCTTATAATTACGATAATTATAACTACTATAATAATTATAAAAATAATTATTATTAATACTACTACTACTGCTGCTATAATAAAAATTACCAGGGCTGTGACAAGACAGTAATTTTTAAAAACAAGACGAGACAATGAGATCTCAAGACAAGATCGAGACATTCAAAGAGCAGGTCTCGAGACATCCGAGGACAAGGCAAGAAATTCGAGGCAAAAACGAGACGTCAAAATTTTAAAAAAATCAATCAAAAATTTAAAAAAAAAATCAGATTTGTGTTGGATTTTTATAATCAAAGTTGAATATATATATATTTATTCAAGCATATATCTGCGTGTGTTTGTGTGCATGTATTCTTATATACGCGCGTGGACATTATATGCGCCAGTACAAACTATACCTTTGTTAACTCGTGAAAACGTAAAAATGCACATTAGCCAATGAACGTTTTAGATGAAAGATGATTTGAAGCGTGAAGAATTACGATTGTTTCACTTGGACCATCTGACTGTCTCGACTATGCCGTAATTACTTTTAAATTAACATAACCAGACATTAACACAAAGCACTATAAATGAAAAATTTGTTTTCCTAAAAAATGTCAACATGTGGTGCGTGCCTGCATATTCACACATGTTAATAATATATATAAATGTTATATAAAAATGTTTTAATGTGTGTTTATAGATAAGCTCATCAAAAATGATTCGAAACATTTTGTGTATAAAAATTATTTCCTATCTGCGCTTGTTTTTAAGACGTATTCAATCAATCTTCGTTTTGCGTCCAGAGACCCGGTTCCCCGAGGTAGGACGTTGTTTTCTTTGCCATCAACTTTTTTTCAACTTTTTTATTAAGCATATCCTAAACTTTAACTTTTTTAACTTAATAACTTTTTTATTCAACTTAAGGCGTATTAAGCCAGTAAAAAAACGAGACAAAGGCTGACATCGTTTTAAAACGAGACGAGACAAAGTCGAGCCTAAAATTTTTGCGTCTCGAGGCAAGATCAAAACAGTATAAAGCTCGTCTCGAGACGAGATATTGTCCCTCGAGACGTCACAGCCCTGATAATTACTATTACTAATTCTTTCTAACTTTTTCATCGCCGTAGTAAAATCCTTTGGCCACTGGATCATCAGCCCGATCGTAAAGTTTACTTTCAACCATAGTGATGGGCGTCGATCCGGAGGCAACATGTCCAGGAGTCCCGCCGACGTTTGGTGGGAGCAAATTTTTGAGATGTTTCCTGACTGAGCGATCCAGTGAAGAATCAGATGTTTGTGGACTAGGGAATTTTTTCGGGGTGTCACAGACATCGTTGTCACTTCTTTTTATAGTAACTTCACTTACACACATCATGTTAGAATCATCAGTATCCTTGCTACAATTGAACGAGTCATCACCATCATCATCACAGGCATTATTAACGACTACTTTTTTATCTTTGGTTGCGACATCAGGTTTATTTTCTTTGTCGCCATGATCGTCACCACCGTCACCGTCATCTCCATCCCCATTGAAAATGTTACCAAGAATATTGTCCTCGTCGCCATTGAAGATATCGAGCGTTCTTTTGACATCAATATTTATCCTTATACCACCGTTAAGTCTACGGTAAGATACGACGTCATCACCATCATTATTATTAATTTTCTTGACGTCATCATTAGAATTATAATCACCACGATCAAAATGGGCACCTCTAGTTTTATCCTGGAAGCATCTCACTTTGGGTTTTTTGATTTTTCTACGTTTTTGTGCTTTGACGATACATTTTATGAAAAAAGCCAACGTATCATCGTCACTATCTTCATCATAATCATCACCACCATCGTCGTCGTCTTCACCAGTAAAAATATTATCAAGATTGCTAGCCAAAGTTTTACGGCGCCCATCCTTATTTGCGCGGTTAAAAGAGCGATAAGAACTACCTTGCTTGGAATGATTAAAATTAGCATTTTCATCATCACAGTAGCCAGCGTGATCAAGGATCTCAGATACGATATCGTCAGGGTCATCATCATGATCACTGTCTTCATTGCCATCGCCACTCAAAATGTTTCTAATAATTATAAGTAATGAATTCTGTACTGAGAACTCCAAACCAGCCAAGGATCGTTTTAAATTGAAGAAATCTTTCAAGAGGTGTTCCACATGTTGAAGAAGACTATTGAAAATAACGACCCTCGAGGGAATATAATCAGGATCCTCAAAGTTATTATTATTCCTATTATTATTCCCATCATCGTTATTGCTCCCACTATTGTCATTCTTCCTATTGTATTTTTTTCTAGCATTATAAATATCTGTTTTGAGCACTCTTCCTAATTCTTTGTGTACACCATTTGCCAAATGTCTGATGGAGCTAGCTATTTTGATGTGCTTGTCAAAACAGCTGATCAATTTCTCAAACTCCCGAGTAGTCTCGTCAGCTAGATGTTTCGCATTCGACTTGGGATAGGAAACGTTTCTGTAATTTTTAAAACTACCATTATTATCATCGCTCATGTCACTGTCTGATGTTTTTATTCTGACGTTATTCACTTTTTTCATGTCCTTTTTAAAATGACTTTCACCAATTCGTAACTTTGTCATCGAATTATCATCTCCTATGGATAACCTTTCAGTTGATTCAATTAAATTATCCATGCAACTGTTCGGCGGGCTTTCCATATTCTTTCGTTTCCCTTTTCCGTTATTAGTGATATATGTAGGACTACTGCAACGAAGATGTATCTTTGTCTTCTTAGCATCACCATTATTATTTCTATTTATATTTTTATTACAATTACTATTAATATTTTTATTATTTTTATCACCAAGATGAGCAGATAAACTCCATTTTGCTGGGCCACCATGCTTTGTATTTGAAACTTGTTTTTTGCCAGTTTCAATGGAGCTTATCACCTTATTATTATAATTTATTTTATTCATATTATTATGACTCCTATTCTTATTATTATTCTTATTGTTATTACTATTATTATTGCTGCTGCTGTTGTTGCAAGCATTGGAATCATCATCCTCATTGAAATTCAAGACTTTCTTTAAGTCTGCTACATCCGGGTACTAGAAAAAAATAATATTTATTTTGAAAAATTAAAATAATTAAAATGCAAATAAAGTAAGTATAGAAATATAAATGAACATATACACAAACTAACTTTTAAATTAAAACTAATTAATTTTATAATTTTGAATAAATTATGTTGAAATAAAAAAAAAAGATTTTGCCTCTGTAGGTGAGGAGCAGTCTTTGAAAGAAAACTTCGCTGTCAAGGTTTAAATCAAAAAATTAATTAATTAATATGGGATTTAAATATTCAATTAAAATATAATTATTTTTACAGACTCATATGTAATGTAAGAAAAATTAAAAATTTTTAGGAGAAAAAAGATGAAAACATCTAAAAACTTTTATATTTATGAGTAAAAAATGATAAAAACTGCATCTTCAACCTTGACAAGTTTTTGAAACAGATCTAATAGTTCTATGCTTTCTGCCTATACTGTTTGGCATGCGTGGTGTTTCCTTTATGTCATTTGATGCATACCCCATAGTTCGTGGGGCATATTTTTTCACAACACAAGTCATAGATGACTTGATGTCATTGTTGTTGGTGGTGCTAATTGGCACCCTCATGGGAGCCTTTAATGTTTTCTTGACAGTGCTGATGGCAATGGGGATATCTTCAGATTTTACTATGGGGACTCTCCCTGGAGGCGGAATAAACCGAGATGTTGATGCCTGTGCTTGATCTGTGGTCGCCCCATTTACTGTATCGGCCTTGCTAGCAGCAGAACCAAAGTAGATCAACTTTTTAGTGCTGAGATCAAACCTAGCCGGCAGACGAGGGGGGCGAGATGTGCTACTGCTGGGGTCAACTGCATTTGCATCCATCTAATGAATCCTAGAATCAGAATCCAATTTTTGTAATTTGTTATATTATAATTTAAATTATATAATCTATAATCTTGGTGTAATTGTAATGCAACAATATTCTGGCTTTAATTTATTTGTTAAAATATAATTAGCATTAGATTACCATTACCTGCAACTAAAATACAAAAAAATCAAACATCTGCCACATCAGGAATTCTAATTTAATATATTATAAGATAGAGGTCGGTGTTGTTGTGCTCAGTGTTGCATGTTACTGTTAGGTTAGTCAGTTGGTGTGTTACTGTTAGAGTTTAACAGTTAGACTGTTAGAAGTTGGTTAGACTCTCTGTTACAGTTAGTTGGAGCAGAGTGTTTGTTAGATGTGTTGTGTAGAAAGTAAAAAAAGTTAAAATAGTAATTTTCTGAGACAAGAAAAACCAAAATAAATGAAATTCTAATAAAATATTTGTAAAAAAAAACATTTGCTTACGTTGTCAAATTTCAAAATGTTTAATTAACTGAGAACTTTTAAAAAGGATTTTGACGAAGCAAATTTATAAAATTGAAAATGCCTCCATTTAAATGAATAGAGATGGGCGGGCAAGTCACAAAAAAGGTGCGAGTAATGTTCGAGTTAGTGACAGATTTCCTTGCGAGTTGTCGGTAAGCAAGCAAGATTAACATTGATGTCAAACATTTATTCTAAGATTGTTGATTCCCAACCAGCCTCTTACATTACTTTAGTTCAACTCGTGCTAAAATTTAATTGATATCATTACGAACCAATAAGTAATAAAACTATACGTTTTAAATCATTTGATTGTGGAGACCAAGCCATAGATTTAGATACAGAGAGGAACTATATTTGCTACTTATGAGCCCAACACTCGATCATGTTTGTTGAACAATTTTATTCGTAAAAACACTAAAAAACAAGTATTTAAAAAAATAAAATCATATTAAATCAACATAATCACTAATTAGTTTATTTATTTAATTTTTCAATATTTAAAAAAAAACGAAATAACAATGTTTATTATAATTTATTAAATCAATGTTGTTATCAACAAATTCTACTATTTATATATTGATAGTAAACTGTAATAACGACAACAGGAAACTTTCTTATCAATGTTAAATATTATTATTCTTATTATTACAACGACAATAAAAATAATAATAATTGTTATTATTATTATTGTTGTTGTTGTTGCAACTATATGCAGGGACTGAGTCTCAAAATATTAAATCATGAATTAGTTATGAATTTTCATATTAAATAAATAAATAAATAAATAAAAAAGTTTATGATGAAAAAATAAATAAACAATAATTCAAATGAATGAATGATTGATGGAGCGACAAAATGATGAATGAATGAATGAGTGTGTGTGTGAATGAATGATCGAGTGTCATATGATGAGTGATTGAATGAAACAAGCGAAAAATATAAGAAATTCTAGTAAACGAACTTTACTTTCTCAATATAAAAAATATATGTATACCATACATATAGTATATATATATATATATATATATATATATATACATATAGTACATATATATATATATATAGTCGAAATTCAAATATATATTGATCTAATGTCGAAATAACGGTAAATGTAAATGTATACACTTATATACATAAATAGATTTGATATATATATATATATATATATATATATATATATATCAAATATATCCTCATCAACTATGTATGAAGGTATGGAGCGCCAAAGAAAGAAGCCTCCCCATCACCATTTCACTTCAAAATCCAAACGTTAATATTATGTTAGATCCTTTCGGTGCACTACTATGTATCTCTAATTTCAAAAAAAAACACGAAAAAATATTTTAAGCGCGTCTTGAATTACGCGCCACTAACAAAGTCATTTATATATATATATATATATATATATATATATATATATATATATATATATATATATATATACACACTTGTATATATTAATTTATATACACACATACTTGAAAGAATGAATTTTTTGTCTTTCTTTTTTAAAATTTATTTTAATATAATGATACAACTAACTAGATTAAATAAATGAATATATTAATTAATTGATTAATTAATTAATTAATATAAAATAATAATTTTATAAGTAATATTAAAATTATTATAAAATGGTAAAAGGAAGGATGGTAGAGATGAAAGGGGTTACAGACATTTTTTATTTATAAATTTGAATTTTAAAAAAATTTAAAAAGCGTTAATTATGTGATCAAAATAATTAAAACGCATGAATATATACTTGTGTAACCAACATATAGATATATATATAACTGTGTGTGTGTGTATGTGTGGTGTGTATGTGTGTGTGTAACATATAAATATTATAAACCACAGCTAAACAAATGAAATGAAATGAAAGCGTAAAAAACGTGTTAACAATCATGAGAGTGTGTATGTCTGCGTGTCTTCCAAATAAAAAATGGATGAATGAATAAATGAGTTAATGAATGAATGAATGAATTAACGAGTGAATGAATAAATTAATGCTTGAATGAGTGAATGTAATAGTAATCTAAAATCCTTTATAAAATTTAGAGTAAAAATCTGTTGACATCAATCTAAAATCGCTTTAAAAATATTTAAATGAGATGAAACTGAAAGCAAGTAAAAGTGGTTGAATAAATAAATAAAATGAAATAAAAGTGAATATGCATGAGGAAGACAACAACGTACAAGTGGATAAATACATAAATAAATAAGCATCATCAAATTAAGCGCTATACTCTAATAACGAATATAAACAATGATCAAAACAACAACGACGACGACAACAACGACATCAACAAAGACATCAACCATTTCAATTTTTACTTTCCCACAAACAAAGTAATTCATCTTAAAACCCAGAAAAAAACCAAAAAAGTAGGCATGCACACACACACACACACACACACACACACACACCATACATTATTTTACCCACAACTATCGTCTAAACTCTAAAATCCTCACTACCATCATCAATAATCCAGTCAGATTCATCATCATCGTCCTCGTCGCCTTCATCATCATCATAGACCTATGAAAGAAATCTACCGTTAGTGACATTAACCGTAACACAAAATACAACAACATCAGATTGCTATAAACAACAAAATAACAACAAATAACGTTAAATGATAATAACAACAATAACAACAGAATGATGATAACACTAACCAAACCACATCAATAACACCACCAGCATTAATTCCATTAATCCTGAAAAACCGAAGTGAAACCATGGAGCGAAAAATAGAAACAACAAAAGACTATTATTATTATTATCATTTTTATTATTTATTATCATTATTAAAGAAAAAAATGAAACAAAGTAATTAATAAAGTAGCAAGGTCTATCACTCCATTAAATGTTATTGTTATTTACTAAGCATATACATAATGTATATATAACAATATAAATATATATATATATATATACACACACATATATATATATATATATATGTGTGTGTGTATATATATATATATATATATATATATAATCAACAATCATTATTGTGATATGCAAAGACATTATATATATATATATATATATATATATATATATATATATATAACAGTAAACCAAATAAAACTGAAAGAAACTGAATGAAATAACGATAAACGGTCTAATAACAACAATAATAAGAATAATAAACAATAAATAATAACAACAATAATAAGAATAATAAACAATAAATAATAACAACAATAATAAAGAGTAAGAGAACAGATGTTAAATAGCCACATTTGACCGATGACAGCATGTGGCGCGTGCGTGTGTGTGCGCGCGTGTGTAATATGTTGTACGTCTGTGACCTCGGGTTTGTTAACAATACTCAATATCGGCGATATCGACACCGAAACCGGTTTTCAGACTTAGAGCCGATACCGATACTCGCTTTTGAGAGCTTCGCCAGGAATACCGATCCTTAAGCTACTGTAACATGTTTATGGCCGTTTGTGATACAGCTCGTGTAGCAAGATGTGTAGAATGCCGTGTAATGCGTTGTTTACCATTTGTATGTTTGTATGTATGAATATAGGTGATCTGATCACATACAATTGTATAGTATAATATAAACGAGTAAATATAATGTAAGAATACAATCTATGCACTTATATGTACAGTACACATACACACACACACACACACACTCAGACAGACATACATACACACACACACACACACACACACATATATATATATATATATCAGCAAACACACTTAGGTACACACATACATACAAATAAACAATCACTCACACACAAACAGACAATCCTTAACATACAAGATACTAGGTATTATAGCAGCTTATATAATCTATAACAGCTTAAATTCACTGTAACTATTGTTATAAGTGCACATACCTAAAAAAAATTACAACCATTGTACGTACACCTCTTCAACGGCTCAAATAACTCACATCCAACCAAACTCATTAGCTACGCTTTTTCTCCACAAAACTCATCCTTGCATATCCGTGAATACTACACGCACACACACACACACGCACATACAAATTTTTCTAATCTACGTTTATGTTTAACAGTCTACCAATATAATATATATATATATATTTTTAGGTTACAAACTACAAGCCTTTATAACGATAAAATGACGAATCTAGCAATCCAGCAGCACTCAATGCGTGTGTATTATATAAAAAAAACTAAACACAACAGATGTATACAACACATATATACATATATATGCAGTAATTTAAAAAATCTACCGAATTTCTAGCGTTGGATAGAATGTTACCGCCGATAATACTTTCATTAATTATGGTCTTTGACCAGCATTCACTAGCATACCTACGACCAACCGAAGGAATTTAACCAGCGAACATGAACGTGAGCAGCTCCATCTTTCTCGTGAGTTAATAGCGACGATGTAGCAAAGCAAAATATAATAGTCACTCAGTTGTCTCAAGAACTGTGACTGTGAAAACCACTGTGAATATCGACGATGACATTCTATCCAATGCTAGAATATTCGGTAGATTTCATAATTTACTGCATTAACTATGGTCTTTTACCAACACTCACAACACTCACCAACACTCATTGATATATATATATATATATATATATATATCAATATTATATATTATATATATATATATATTCACAATGAGAATATAAAGGGTGAGAACTTCCAACCCGCCCCGGCCGGCCAGTACAAGTGCACTATTTCAACATGGAAATATGGAGAGAGATGGTGCACTTCATGTGCTCGTACTGGCAGGCCGTAAAATCTCACCCTTCATATATATAAATATATGTATATATATATTCATATGTAAGTATGCAAGTATAAATAAAAGTAGGAATAAATAAAAGTTATGTATTTAAATATAAATCAATAAATAAATACGTCAATCCATGCAGCAAATATGTAGATTCACACTAGATTAATAAGAATTTTACTTAAAAGCGTAACAAACTAATGATTGAATATTGTCTTGAATGGCCTGGCGACAGCAGCCAACAACGACGCCACAATCACCGACGTGTAAAACAAGGGCGCAGAAGAGAACGTAATAAAACCAATTTCAAGAGAAACAAGCCTCTAACATGTATACAGGAACATTTAAGAGACACCCAAAAGTCATTGTAGCAGTTATTAATTGAATAAAAAGTGTTAATGGTAACTGTTGAAGTGAGTAAATAACTAATTAAAGAACCAATTAACTCGTATATAAAATTCAAGTGATAATCGACAACAAATGTTTTCATGTTTCTCAGAAAAACAAACATTTCAAGACAGTACCGCACCTAGAATCTGTATAGGCTTACGTACATATACCATCTAGTTTTGCAATAGAGATACAAATTTCACTTTCATTTTCTAATTTTACTTTTAACATTTTAGTTTCGCTTTTACCTTCCTGACAAAATTTCCAGTACAATAGTTTTGTATTTTCCAAAAAAATTACATACATCTCATTCTTACATTTCGCAATGGTTAAAATTTAACAGAAACCGAATAAAATTTTTAACATTATATCTAATTGATAAATTTTTTTGACAAACTCCTTGTACCAACAACAACACAAACAAACAAACAAACAAACGACAACACAAAACAATAAGCATACACACAAACATACAAACAAACAAACAAACAAACAAACAAACAAACAACAACACAAACGTAAACATAAACAACAACAATAACAAACATCACAAACATTATGTGATTAAATAACTTTAAGCGTTAAAATATTTGAGCTAGCGATGATGACGATGATAATAATAATAATGATGATGATGATGATGATAATAATAATAATGATGATGATGATGACGATGATGATAATAAAGGTGTAATGTTTGAAGTTATCATTAAGAAATACTCTTACAATCGATTAAATATTATTACACATTACTAAATGATCAATTAAATATTATTAATTATATATATATATTATTAAATATTATTAAAACTAATGGAGAATAAATTAAAGCAAAAATAAGCAAAACGTATTAATCAGCGTTAATTTTTTTTTAAATTTATTATTTATATATTATTTTTAAAACACAATAAATCCAAAAACATTTTCATATTAATAACATTAATAATTAAAAATAGCAATTCGTACTAAATAAATTTACAAAATAAGAAGCATTTCTTTAACCACTATTATTTATATTATTATTATTATTATTCTCGTGTGTAAATAAATTATATTACAACAAATAGAATTAAATAACCGTGCGTGAACATGCATTTTCAAGCAAATCTTTTTCAAATTATATATTTTTTTCATTATTATAAATTAAATTTTTTATCAATTTTAAACCGCAAGTAAGATATGTATGTGTGTATGTGTGTGTGTGTGTGTCTGTGTGTGTACGTAGTACAAACGTACGTATGTATGTATGTATATGTGTGTGTTGTATATGTATACACGCATATACAAACATACAACACATCATATATATTGTATAACGTGAAATAATTTTCATATGTATGTATATATGTATATATTAAGATGATCACCGACATAGTATTAATAATATTTATTATTATTATGATTATCATTATAGTTATACATAAAAAATACTATCGATATATTTAGCATTAGAAACAAGCTATCAATAAAAAATCAACAATAATAACAACAACAATAAATTAAATAATAATAAAACAATAGCAATAATAATAATAATGATAATAATAACGAAGAACAATAAGAGTAATAATAAAAAAAATTATGATCATTAAATATATTTATGATGGTTATCACAAAGGTTGTATTCAAGTAGGATGTGTGTGACGAGCAGACGTTAACAATCAAACTAGCGGGAGATGTGCACGTGTGTATGTATGTCTGTATTTCCGTTTGTCTGTCTGTCTGTATGCATGTCAATATGTTTGCATGTACAAACTTGTGTATATATGTATGTATAATTCTATGTAAGTGGTGTATGTGTATAAGTTTGGATGATTAAAAAAAACAAGGACAAACATATATTTGCAGGTGATTTAAGTAAAAATTCACACACACACTAACACACACACGCACGCACACGCATACATTCAAATCCAGACACCCACATACAAATGTGCGCACGTTCGTGTGTGTGTGTGTGTGTGTGGTGTGTGTGGTGTGTGTGTGCTGTGTGTGTAAGTAGGTAAAAAAGAACCGGTTTTAACATTGTAAAGAACCAAAAGAATTGTAGATAAAAACACCTACAATGAATAGCTAGCTGAATGCATGAATTGAATGCATTAAAATGAATTGATAGATAGATAGATGGATGGATGGATGGCTGAATGACGGACAGAAGAAGGAGAATTGAAAAAATTGGATAAATGAATGATGATGGATGGATGGATAGATAGTCAGCCAAAAAGCAAATTGAAAAAATAGAAACATGTGAGAAAAAGTGATAAGTGAATAACTGAACGGAAAATGAATGATTGAACGAACGAACGAACGAACGAATGAATGAAAAAATAAGAAACAAACAAAACAAAACAACCGGAAATACTAACGAAAGAATGAAACGAACTGAAAAAAAGGGGAATACAAAGACCTAACAACGGTAGTAGTAATGACAAAAACATACACAAGAGAGATAAAAACGTTTCTGTTGGAAAATAATTATACTGAAATAATAATAATAATAATAATAGCTATAATAATAATATAAATAATAACAACAATTATAATTATAACGCTATTGAATATAAAAACAACCAAAAACAATGTTTAATTTATCTAAATACGGATTCAAACAAATGATATATATATATATATATGTATATATATATATATAAATTTTAAAAGCTAATCAAACATTGCAAAATAATTAAATAAATGTAACTATATTTACATATATACATACATATCTAATTCATAAATGTATGTTTGTATATATGTATGCATATGTATATATATATATGTATATATATATATGTATACATATATATACATATATATATATACATACACATACTACATAGTATGTATATATGTACGTACGTAGATGAATCATTAACGTATAAATATATTCTTTGTGTATATATGTATCTAATAACCAGCCAATATAATGTAAAGATACAAATGTTAAATGAAAACTACTACAAAACTACTACTACTACTTCACCATCTTCATCATCACTATCGCCACCTTCACCATCATCATCATCATCATTTCACTCATCATTATCACCGTTACATACATCGGCATCCAATTCATATCCTTATAGGGTCTAACAAACGGCGGACAGAGCGTATTTTTTAAAGAAATCCAATAAGAATGAATGAGCCAGGCTGATTTCATTAAACAGACAAACACACTCACACAGACACACACACACACATGCATATACACGCACACACATACATACGTACATAGAAACACAAATGCATGCAACTAAGCATGCATAAAAACCTAGACAGACGCATGTGAAGATATCTCATCTTTCAGCATCATCCTTCCAATCACTGTCGCCTTAATATGATAATAATTCACAATAATAATAAAATTACTATCATTATCATAATTATTATTGTTCTTATTATTTTCCTAATCGGGCAGGTTCGACTAACATCTTCGACAACGGCAACAAAGAGAACAAAAAAAAAACATCTTAAACAAACACATAAGAAAGACGCTAAAAAAAACTGAATTAAATTAACAAAATCAGCAACAACAACAACAAAAACTACAACAACAACAACACATCATCATAGTAGTAGTAGTAATCGTCGTCGTCAGTCCTGCCTGTCTCAGCGACGTGTGGGACTCCATTGGAGAGCGCCAGGCACATTTCTACCGGGTGGCCACTGTGGCTGTTGGGGCTGTCCATACATCGGCCATAGCGGGAGATGACCTGATGGCGGCAGTGGTAGCAGTACAGGAACATTGCGGTCACCAATATGTTAAAAAATGTCAATCTTATTCTTCATTAATCCACCCATTCACTATCTGCAACAACACAATCACAATGACAGCTGCAACCACAATAACCACCACAGCTACAACAACAACAAACCTCTGATAGAAGGAGCGGAAACGTGTCCTCCGGAAGTAGCGGCTACCCCTGCTCCACCACCAGCAACGGCCGCAGTTATGCCCCCTGTGGCACCCCCTCTGACAAGGGCCCTCCCTCTGCCGTCGGGATAGGAGGCAGCATAGTTGAGGTAATCCTCTGCTTCGTAGGTTGGGTAGTAGTCGTAGTCGTCTGTGTAACTGCCGCCTCTGTAGTCGCGTGCGTAGTAGTCGACAGCTATAATGTTGGTGTTACGTGTTGTTAACCGTTAGTAGTGAATACAACAGCAACATGCCACAAAGAAAGTACGGAAAGAAAAGGAAAGTGCAACAACACAGCCCAGTAACAAACAAACTTGGTATATGAGATCTGAAGCCTCCCCTAAAGAGGAACGGCGGTCTGGCAGACCTGGACATCCCTCTCAGTGGAACTACGCCACCCGGTCCACCCCCTCCACTGCTACCTCCATAATATTGGGAGGGTATGTAGGAATCATCATAACTACAAGTAGGTAGGTACAAACAGTAGATGTATGAATGAATGAATGAATGGATGAATGGATGGATGAATTGATTGATTGGCAGATAGAAATAGATAGATAGATCGATTGATCGATCCTCATAATCGTCCCAACATCCTTATTAACAACATCATAACCATCGCATCATAACCATCACATCGTCATCGCCATGGTTGACATACAAATGTTTGAACTGTTGTCTTCTCTTCTCCTTCTGCTTGTTCTCCGATGGGGGCTTCGCCAGTGAGATCTGCATTTCAGAATCACCTATTTTCTGCAAGCAAGATTGTGGTGATTATGGTGATGAAGAAAACTGCAGTAAAAGTGATGGTAATAAGAACGACGACGACGATGATGACGATGGTGAGAATGACCAACTACGTAATCGTAACTTTTACCTTCCCTTGCAGTTCTTCCATGGCCTGTAAAGCCTGGTTCCTATCCTCAAAGTGCACGAAACTGTAGTCTTTCACCTGATTATAATAATGATGATGCCGCGTTAAGATGAGGAAGAGGTGAAGAGACACAAAGATGATGCTGATGATGAAGATGATAATCAGTTTGACCTCTAACCTTCTTAACCCTCTCGACCTTTCCGTACTTTTCAAATGCTGCTCTCAACTGATCATCAGTTACATTGGATTTCAAGTTTCTCACGTACAAAACCTTGACCTGTGAAAACGGTAATAACAACGATAAGAAGAATGACCATGATGATCAAAATGATGAAGTTGAAGATGACGACGACGACGAGGAAGATGAAAAGGTTTACAACGAAGCAAAGTGAAATTTCACGCAATGACCTTATTCATGATCTCATCGTCGGGTTCCTCGAGCGGATCGGCCCAATCGACGATGATGTCACAGCCCCAGACCCTCATCCAGCCATTGCCAATTTTGTGCTTGGCCAGGGATGCACTCTTGTGACTGTCGTACTCCAGGAATGCGAACCCTCTGTTCTTCTTCTTCGGGTCGTCTGGCGAACTGTAGATGATCACGTCCACCAAGCCATCTGGTCAGTGTTTCAGTGGACAAGTGAGTGAATGTATGAAGAGTGAATGAATGAAGAGTAAGTGAATGAAGAAATGGGTGAATGAATGAATGAATGAGTGAGTGAGTGAGTGAGTGAGTGAGTGAGTGAGTGAGTGAGTGAGTGAGTGAGTGAATGAATGATATATAATTTCTATAACATTATCATATCTTAAAAACGATCATCAGGAAAATAAAAACAGTAGCAACTTCTTGTTTAACACTGAAGATAAATCAAACATCATATTGATTGATAATGTAAAACACAACACAGCTAGACGAGCAGGCAGTGCATACACACATACACATACATATACACACGTACATATATACACACGTACGTGCTTACGAACATATCTATATGTACACATACATACGTTGGTGTATAAACATCACACATGTATTATTGATGATGCATTTAAGCAAGCAGATATATCCCAATATTGAAACAAATTATACACACATGCAAACACACACACATATATATATATATATATACAGGGATGTGTTTGTATGTATGTATGTGTGTGTAAAAAAGACGGTGAAATCTTGCTATACAACTATCAAAGGACACTTAAAGTATGTTTCATTGTAGGAGCAGATTTCATCATCAGGTCAAAATAGAGCCCTTGGATGGAATTTAAAAAAGGTTCTTTCTGGTAAATCTGAGCCTCACTCACACGTCACATCAATTGAATTGATATTTTCAAAAACGAAACTAACAGAATTCATAACAAAAACAAACAAACATAACTTTGAAAACGAGACTAGGAAAAAACAACAGCAACAAATAAAAAAAAACAGCATCCATAATATTGAGAAATATCATCGATTAGACCTTAAAAGCATGGCAAAGTACAGATGATATAACTCCCACAATGAATGATACGGTACATACATAAACTATGCTATCATTGTATTGTGCGCTGAACTGGATAGGTAGAAGTACCTGAAGACCCACCAACCTATTACATATGTGTAAATACTTTCGTCAAGTCTCAATAGATGTCACACATGTTTCATGTTTGCTGCGTCTTTCTTCAAGGCTGTTTATCTACTCTTTGGTCTGTTTGTTTGTTTTTTTTTATATTGTTTGTGTTGTTTATTCAAAGTGTTGATGTTTGTTTGTTTGTTTTGTATTTGTTTATGCTTTTGGATTACTAACGCATGTGCTGTTTATGCCTACACTGTACCGTACTGTAATGTCCTGGTGATATTTGCTTTGAAATTTTCACTCATGTTTATACATGTTCTTGAGTCATGTGGTCCCATTAACATATACATTGTGAAATTAGATTGAATAGATCTAAATATAAATAAACGGTTGCTCTAATTAAGTCTCTCAAAGCAAAATTCTTTGTAGGTGTATGTGTGTGTTTATTTGTGTGTGTGTGCGTGAGTGTGCGAGTGTGTGCGTGCATGAAGTATTTCACACAGAAAGTATTTTATTACCACTACTTCGTTACTGGTCTTCTCATCAATCCAAATAATCATCACAATAACAGCCATCATTAACGTCAAGCAATCTAAAACACAAAAAATTCTACTATACATTAAAACCAACAAAATCATACATCACATCTAGGTATTTATTTGCAATAAAAATGCAAAATGTACCTCAAATATACCGTATTACAACGTAACTAATGGTCATAGGTAATGTTAAAACTATTCCCATATGTGTGTATATACATACGCCATAAACAATACAATAAAATATATAAGAAAATACATGTATCAAAAGAATAACGCAAAAAATAAGCACACACACACAAACATATATATATATATATATATATATATATATATATATACATGCAAACGTTTATTTAGATATTAACTATATATATATATATAATAATGGTATTGTGCATGTAAGTATAGATGATCTTTTCGGTATCAACTATGTGTTAGAATGCATCACATATTTGTATATCAGCAAAGAATTCAATTACAGATCCGACATACAAGAAATTCCATAATTCCATCACATATATACATTACATATATATATATATATATATATATATATATATA